ATAATTAATTTAATTAAATGATTAATTTAATATTGATTAAAATTAATTAAAATTAATTAATCATTTTTATTAATCTTTAACTAAGATAATTAAATGAATCCAATTATCTCAAATTAAAGCTAATAAACATGATTAGTTTATTTTAATTAAAATTAATTAATTTCATTACTCATAAATTAAACTAATTAACCTAATCAATTTATCATTTTATTTATATATATATTTTGCCTTTTTCACTTTTCTAGTTTTTTTTTTATTGGGTCGGATCATTAGAGCCCAAAAACACAAAATCATTCATCCAAACATTGCAAAAATAGATCAAACACCGAACAAAAAAAAAAAAAGGAATCTGGAGAGAAATGGAATTGAAAATTAAGGTTCATCTATTTCAAAAAGAAAGAACACGTTCATCATAAAAAAATCACATTCACCAACCCAAAAAAAAAGCACATTCATCAGACAAAATGAACTGGACAATTTTTTTTGATTTTTTCATTCACAATATTACTCTCAAATACACTTACAGCACGTCAAGAAAACCCAAAAATAAAAACAAGCATGGCGAAGGTTTTTGAAGAAGACAGGTCAAATTCGGGGGGAGGGATCCCACCCATGAGATCAAGCTCCAACCCTCTCCCTCACCACCTTTCTCAAGAACCTCCTCTGATGAGAAAATTACCTACAGAAACAAATCCAAAAAAGGCACACTTCTTGAAACTCAACCATGTCTCCTCCTCTAACCGTTGTTGCCCCTTTTCTTCCCCACGAAATCCCCTTTTACTGCTCTTCGAAAACTCAGAAGGAGACTCCCAAAACCAGACCCAAAATCAACAAAAGACCCCCGACCTCTGCTTTCTGCTCTATATATATACACAAACAATAAAATAAAAAAATGAAATAAATAAAGAAAAGTCTTGCTCCGTCAATCACTAATGATGCCAATTTTGTCTGGTATTGCTGTTTTTTCTATGTGGCTGTAGCGTGCAGGAGGCAGGGGCACAGGATTGGGCGCAGAGTGCAGGAGGCACAACAGCAGGGGCGCAGGTGGCAAAGGCAGGGCTCGGTGCAG